CCTTCATCCAGTGAGCCCAACTTTTGGGGCTCAGGTGCAAAAATGACATAAAGAATGAAAAAGAAACCCCAAATCCTCCTTTCCTCCCCAGCTCTGCTTGGGCACTGCTGCAGGATCTCACTGTCAGAGCCAAACTCTTGCTGCTGTCCCCTCCTTTCTGCCTCAGCACAGCCAGGGATGGCCAGGGTCAGACAAGGCAGCCCTGGTGCTGTTTAACAGATGAGTGAAGGGACCATCACTCTAGGCTGTGTTCAGCCTGGAGCCTTGGAAAGCATCAACAGAGGGAGATTCAGGACTGGGGAAAATCCATGGAGAGGAGGTGTGAAATGGCAGGCTCTGTCTTCTTTGCAGGCTTTGCTCCTCCCTGCCCAGGGGATTCCCACAGTGCTCCCCACCTCTTTGTGAGCCCCACACCATGGTTCTGGGGTTCCTCCTGCCTGGGATCTCCTTCCAGCCTGCCCACAGAGCCACCAGATTGTCCTCACTCCTCCCACTAGCTGCCCAGGATATGCCAGCTCTTCCTAGCCAGGGATGTCTCAGCCTCCTGTGCCCACCTGTGAGCAGCATGGAGCCCTCCCCACTCCTTTGGGAAGCAAATCCTGACTTGAACCCTGGATTTTCCTGAACAAACCATCACACAGAGATCAAAACAACACATCAGGCAAGTCCCATGACCCTGCAGGGCACACACCCTGTCTCTGTTGCTTTGGCAACTAGTGAAGAAGCAGCAGGATTGGTCCCTCCAAGCAGCCCCCATCCTTGCAGTCTCTCCCCACACATCCCCCCTCCCAGGGAATCCCCACACTGATGAATGCCCAGCAACACTGCTGGACTTCCTGTCTCCTCCACATTGGACAAATCAGTGTAATCTCCTTGACAGCCACTGATCTGATTTGTCTGGGAACAGCATCTGCTGCTCAACATCCTTCCCTAGCCCTTGACATTTGCCCAGAGACAACAAGGGTGCTTTTTGTTTGGTTGGGCTTTTTTAGAAAACAAAATACAAACAACAGTAAATGAATTAATCCACCCTCCTGTTTTTCCCAAACAAGATTATTTGAGAACCACTCTGCTCAGGTCTGACTCCCTCCCACATTTTCAGAGGCTATTGTCTGAGCTCTTATTTCCTGAGCATGTCCACCAGAGCTCTCCTGTGCCTCAGAACACAGAATAAATTCTCTTTGTTGTCCTGGAATAGATATATATGAGATCAAGAGAGAGTCTCAGCTTGTTGAGCTTACCCTGAGTTTGCCCAGTTCCAGGTGCTCAGAAACGTGTGGGATTTCACAGAGCCACAGAATGTCAGGGGTTGGAAGGGACCTCTGAAGATCACCCAGTTCACCCCCCCTGCCAGAGCAGGACCAAACCCAGGCCAGGTCACTCAGAAAGGCATCCAGACAGGGCTGGGAACTCTCCAGAGAAGGAGCCTCCACAGCCTCTCTGGGCAGCCTGTCCCAGGGCTCTGTCACCCTCACCCCGAAGAAGTTCTTCCTCATGTTGAGGTGGAACTTCCTGGGCTCCAGTTTGAATCCATTGCCCCTCGTCCGGTCCCAGGGCACAAGGGGCAAGAGCTTGTCCTGCCTTCTTGCTGCCCTCATGTATTGAGAGACATTCATTAGATCCCCCCTCAGTCTTCTCCTCTCCAGACTGAAGAGCCCCAGGTCTCTCAGCCTTTCCTCATCAGACAGATGTTCCAGTCCCTTCATCATCCTTGTAGCTTCCCTTGGACTCTCTCCAGTAGATCCCTGTCGCTCCTGAACTGGGGAGCCCAGAACTGGACACAACACTCCAAGAGAGGTCTCACCAGAGCTGAGTGGAGGGTGGGGAGAACCTGCCTTGATCTGCTGGATACACTTCTCCTGATGCACCCCAAGATACCATTGGCCTTCTTGGCCACGAGGGCACATGACTGTCCCATGGATAACGTGTTGTCTACCAGGTCCTTCTCCATGGAGCTGCTCTCTAGCACATCACCTCCTCGCCTGGCCTGGTGCATTTTGTTGTTCCTTCCCAGGTGCAGGATGTGGTTTTGTGGGCAGGGCTATGCTGAGAAGACACAGGATTGTCCCTTCTCCACATCTCACAGAGACAGCAAAGGAGAAACCACATCCTGGTTTAAGCCAGCTTCCTGGCTTAGGGTCCATGCTGGACTCTCTCCTGGATCGATTCAAACCACTGGTCTAAGCTCCTTTGGCTTTATTGCTGTTTAATTTGAGTCAGACAAATGCAGCCAAGAGCACATCCCTTCTGATGTTTTCTTTTCAGTTAAGAGGTGGCCTGTGCTGGAGGGGTTGGTCTGTCACACAGGTGGGTGTGAGCTAACCTGGGAGAGAGCAGCAGCAGGCAGGGCTCAGGGAGCTGCCCTTGCACCCTCTAATACCTCTACTACCAACCAGAGCCTGGGGAATTCCCACCCCAGACATCAAAACCCTGGGAAGAGCATGGAAAGAGCACAGTGGGAGCAGAGGGTTTTCCAGGATTTGCCTGTTTGATCAGCAGGCTCACTGAACACAGGGGAGAACTTTGTGTCCCCATCCTTCAGCACTGCAACATGGGCTTGGAATAAAAGCATCTCCTGTGATTTTAACTTAAAACAGGATAAAAGAAACAGGAGATAGAGAGAAAAAAAAAATCACCAGGAGCTGTTTCATTGCAAATGTGGAGTCTGCACATGGGCAGGCAGAAAAAAGGAATGGAAACCCACAGAGTTAGCTCAGCACCAGTCTGTGCTTGGGCAAAGCTTCTCAACAAACCTGGGGTCACCCCAGGCAGCCCCTGCTCTGGGAACCCAATCACAGCAGACTCTGGTACCAACCACCTGGGATGGTTTCAGGGACTGCCCTGGGCAACCAGGTCACAGACCATCAGGGGTGACATCACGGCTGATGCACCAGAATCTACATGTTGGGCTGGTAACAGAGCCTGAGGCTGCCCTGCCTCCCTCCTCCCACCCCACATGCTGCTGCTCCCACTCCAGGCACTGGGAAGGGGCTGGAGCTTGTGAAGAGCTTCAGGCAGAGGCTGAGGTGAGGTTCACTGTTGCATGACCTGAGAAAAGGACCCTGTCCTTGAGTTGAGTAGGTCTGAACCACATCAGCTCAGTGCCTTGAAGAGCTCCAGCATGATGGTAGAAGGAGCAGTAGAGCTTGCTCTGGTGGGGCTCATTTACTCACTGCTTGTAACAGAACTATCACAGCAGCTCTGGTGCACTCCTACGTTAACGGAGCTTTGCTAATTGTCATCTGAGCTAGAGCACAAATGGTTAGACTGATCTTTCTTGATTAAAATGTTGTCAGTGATGGGGAACTCAACAGACCTCTGAGAAAACTGCTCCAGCAAGAGCCTTATTTTTAAGTCCATGGCTGGTTTCTGGTAGGAATGCTTTAACTACTTTACATCAAACCCTCACTCCATTTTAGCTTTGTCAGCTGGAAGAGCCTAGGCACAATGTTTAATCACCACAACAAGTTGGTTATAACATCCTCTTAATTTCCTGCTAGGCTAAATTATCAAGACAGAGTCAGAGAAAGTCTCAGACACAACCAGCTGCTGCAGATGTTTAACTACAAGCTCCCACACCAAAATCTGGGACCCAGTGATCCCTCTGGCACCACTGAAACCTCCACAGGAGCTGTTTGAGTGATCACTGGGATTGACAGAGCAAAAAGGCATCTCTTTTCTGCAGGGAAACAATGCCTGACCCAGCCAGCCAAGGAAGCACAGCACCCAAATTTACTCCTGGTTGCTCCAAGATTATAAGCCTTGGCTGTGCCCCAAAATGTATCATCTTTTTACACATAAATGGTCCTGGAGCCAGTCTCCTCATACACAGTAACCTCTGCTTGGGGTATTCACTGAGGAAGGTGGACTCCCAGTTTAAGTCCTTTCTGACCCTGATGCTACTCAAGGAAGTTCACCCTCTGAAGAGGATCCCTGCCCCTGCTTATGAACCAGGAGGGAAGATGGGAGAGGTGATGGGCACCTGCTCAACCTTTTCATATCACTGCCAAGCAAAGGAAGCACATTTTGTTGGGCCAGAGGTAAGAGAAAGGTACTTGCTCAGGAGGCAGGTCTCTGCCCTGCTCCAGGGCTTCCTAGCTTTGTGACATCACACACAAATTGGGAAAACTTCAGCCATGGTTTTGACAAAAAGACCAGACTTTTGGAGACATCCTTCCAGTGAGACTTCTGACCTACTATTAGGTTTAATTTCTTCTTCTTTGGTCTCCCTCTGCCCAGTTGCCCAGCTCCAATGGGAAGCTGGGCACCGTGTGTTGGTGATGGCATTTCACAAAGAATGCAAGAAAGGTTCCAAACTCCCCCACAAGTGGAGTTGGTCCCAGCATTCCCAACCCTGATTCAGCCAAAGAGACCCACAGGAGATAGCACATACAGTAGCATTTCAGGAGGGACCTGCTTCTGCTGAGTTAGGTGTGGCTGGGACACATTTCTCTAGCAGGTCCTTGGGGGACCTGAGGCTCATCCACTCAACTTCTGGCAGCCACAGGGGCTTACAGAGTAGATTAGTTGAAGTGCTTAAGCCAGAGCAGATAATACACTTCAGCAGCACAGAGCCTGAGGCTGCACAGCTGGTAAAGGCACTGGCCTTCATGCAGGGACATGAGTCAAGATTTCATACCCAAAGTCTAGTCTAAATGCTCAAAATATGCTTTAGAGAAGAAGTCTTCCTCTGTGAAGCATATTTTCCAGTCCTTTAACCATCTCACAACTTCACCTGGCTTTCCCCCCTGCTCCTGACTGTCCTCCTTGAGCTGAGGACACCAAAACCCAACACACCATTGCAAACAACAGCTGTCACACCCCCACCAAACCGAGCTGACCCAGAAGCAGCCCTATTTCTGGCTCCTTGGCTCGACAGTTCTAACAATGACAGGGAACACCCCTGTCCTCAGAGCTGACAATCATGAACTTTCCAGCACTGAACGTTGCATGCAAAGGAAAGGAACCTTCCCCAGACACGTGGAGAAAGAGGCACTTACCCACTGGTTCCAGGTCTCTGGGTCTGAGAGAAGCGCCAGTCTGTGTTGGGCTGAGCTTGCTGCAGAGAAAACAGAAGAGTTTTAATACCTCCATTCTTGTCTTTGAAAATGGAAGTGAACTGATCCTGGATTATTTCAGCCTGGAATATCAGTGTCTTCTTTCCAAGTAAAACAAATCCATTAGAAGAAAAAGAAAGCTTCCCCCGCCCCCTTCCCTGGGCAT